TTCAAGCAACCAAGCCTTCATCCACAGGCATTCATACAATTAATCACTTAAGCAAATAGCCTCATGGCAAGCATGCTATCATGGCAACACTCACACTCATGCAAGTATGCTAAAGCGTAATACTTACAGTGTACTCCGAGCCAAAACAAAAGCTAGTTAGAAATATGCATGATCCTAACTATACAAGATGCCTAATGCAACACATGCAATATGCAACTAATAGGCTTGGCTATCTAAGATGGCATATGAATACAACAATTTGATACACGTATTCAAATAAGTATTGAAATACGATGCAGTTTGAATGATGTGCCGAACCCGGTGCATGCAATACAAATGAATGATGCAAACATGCAAGCATAAGGTATGCTAATCAAAACGTGCCCTAATCTAACCATCAAAAGAGGTTAAGTAAAAGAGAGAAAGAAGTGGGGTTGGAAGACATGCACACACACACGCACCCTTATTACAATATTGCGTCCTCGCGAAGGAGGGTCCAAATAAATAAGCTAAGCTACTCTAAGCTAAGCTAATCGAACTAATCTAATTAAACTAATTAGACTAATCATTACAAAACAAAATAAAGAAATAGCTAAGCTAAGCTACTTAATTATTACAACACTTAACTAATTAGCAAACTAATTAATTAAATTACAAAACCGTGCTAACTATACATGTAAAGCACTAACTACACTGCCTCAGCTCTACTTTGGAAATTGAATATGCATGCACTCGATTGTCGCCCCGAAACGCCTTCTGGTTTTCTCCAAGAACCTTCTGTTCCACCTTACCAAGACAATGCTGAGGATTGCACCAATGGCCTACCAGCCATTAGTATTTGCTGCCGACCATCTGCCAGCCAATGATGAAGCACTACTGGCCATCAATGTACCAGTGCCAGCCACTGGTGTACTGAATTGCCACACTGCAATAGAGCACAGACAGAGGAAAATTGAGGGTTTTCTAAGAATATGTTTGTACTGTGCCCCTCCTTATCATCTCAAAACATCAAAGGAGTGGCACTCTTGGATCCAAAACCACCAATCAAATATTTTCAATGCATGATGGCCAAAGATCCAAGTTGTACACTTTCAATAAATGCACAAAACAAGACTCTAGGCCACTACCCTATCATGCATGATCAAGGGTGATGGAGACAAAGGAGATTGGCTCATTTCGTCACTTTGAGTATGAAATGGACCAATCTACCTTGTGTTCAATATAACGTCCGATTGAACACAATGCAATGCAAATACAACATGCTTATCTTAGTCATGTTTTACTTGTCCAATTCTTGTTTACACATTTTAACATTACCAAGCCATTCTTTAACCGGTTATGTCCAAGATGAGTGTCCTCTAATGAGAGAGGGGTCAACCAAAAGATGGTTTAAGACATGAGAGAGATCATGCCTTTGACTAGGAGAAACCCTCAAAAGAGAGTTAAAGTCATTAAGCACAAGCTTCATCTCAAGCTTAAACACAAGCATAAGATTAACCAACTCTCAAAAAAAAATGAAAAAATGAAGAAATAAGGGAGGTTGCAGACTTTTTTAGTACTGGAATGGCATGCTAAAGACCTTAAATCATGCAAGCAACACATGCAAGACATGTTCAAAAGCTAAAAGCATTATACTAGTAAAGAGCATTACACTAGAGGCATGCAATATCAAGCTTAAATGACCAAACCAGCTCTGGACAGAGCTTAAACATGCCAAAACAGTGGCTAAAACATGCTGAGATAGTAGCACAAAAGGCAAGAAAAATATGCTCATTTGTTAGGCTACAAACAAGGCATAAGGCACAACTCTCAAAAGCAATGAAAGAGTGAAATACATGCGCACATGACAGAGGTTATGGTGCTGAAATTACATGCAAAATGAGGCTATAACATGCAAATAACTCAAACACTTCATACTCAAGGCCTCAAAGCAATGGACTAGTGAAGACCGTTACACTATAGTCATGCAAACCAAGCTTCGATTGAAACTAGCCATATGAATTATGTCATTGAATATGACAGTTGATTAAATTGTTGAATGTGTGAATTTGGTAGTCATTGTATATGATACGTTTTTAAATACATTGTATATGTATAATTGTTTGGGAGGAGATATGTGATGTACTCCATTGTTTGGGAGAAGATAGGGAATGAACTCCATTGATAATTAAGTTAGCCAGAGTGTCCAGGGTAAAAGTCCCGAAATCTTATATATATTTGGGTGTCGGTTCCTTCGGATGAGATTCCATAAAATGGCAAGAAAATGGAAGTGTTTGAATAATGTTTGTTATTGAAGTGTTAATAAATGAGTTGTAGTCTCATTTTGAATTGTTTAGATACCAACGAACTATGTAAATGAATTGATTTGGATAAATGATTCAATAGAAATTATATTTTAGATATTTTTATACACTTACATTTAATTTGATGACTAAATATAAATTTTTTCATCTACTTTATTTAACAAAAATAGGCAAACAGTTTAGATTGAAAACAAATCAAAAGTTTAGAGGTTAAATTGATAAAATTGAAAATTTATTTTCTTACATGGTTCGAACCCTGGGATTTTTTTTTTTATAAAATTTTTCCAATAGATTTTTATACAAATTTATATATAGAATAATATAACTTCTTTTGGTTGTTTCATTTTCAATTAAAATACAATCTATCATTATCTTCATAATTTCAAAATTGTCATTAACATTTCATTATAAATATATTTTTTTTCTTGTATAAATTTTTTATTTGCAAACAATTTTTCTTTTATATAATTTTGTAAAAATTATATTGAGTAACGTTTGGTTTATTGGAATAAAAATGAAATGTAGTATAATAATTATTAGGGAAAATTATTTAAAAATATCCAAGGGTTTGAACCCTATAATAAAATAAGCTTTACATTTTTAATTTTATTAATTTAAATCCTAATCTTTTTATTTGTTTGTGATCTAAACAATCTATCTATTTTCATTAAGTAAAATTGACGAAAATAATAGTATTTTAATAATTAAACTCAATAAAAATGATATTTTACATTATTTTTTTTACACCTACAGTGAGTTTAATGACTAAAACATTTTTTTCTCTGCCTATTTTACTTAACAAAAATAGATAGATGGTTTATATTAAAAACAAATAAAAAAATAGAGTTTAAATTGACAAAATTAAAAATTCAGAATTTATATTTTATAAAATGATATTATCTATTTTGTAACAAACTAAATATTATTTTCAGTAAAACTAAAAGTATTGTAGTTGTGAAATTTAAATTTACTACAAAAATTTTATATTTGTGAAACGTAAATTTATTACAATAACTGGTATTTTTTTTCTAGTATATATATCAGCCACAGCACCAGTCAAGCTAGTTGGCACAAGTTGAAAATTTTGACTGAAAGAGAGGATAAAAGAAATGGTCTTCCCCAATCTTGGCCCCTCCCCCCATCTACTCACTTTCATTAAAAGTTTGAGAGTTTTTTGGTATTATTTTCTAATATCAATTTCTCAAGATATTGCCATTAAATTTGACCAAATGTATAAGTTCAATTCATATGATAAGTGGTATATCTCTTATTGGTCTTCCAGCAGATCCAAAATGCTGAAACTCAAATTAAATACTCCACCTATGCAAACTTTTAATGTGAGACAGAGTTATCACAACGGTATACTCTCTTAATAGGAGAGAAATGCAATCACTTTATCCTCTATTTTTTAGAGCATGTTATCATGTTCGTGTTATTGGGTGAGCACACAATATGTAGCCGCAAGTCTTTGTCAAATAATTATTTAATTGTCTATCTTGGCGCTTTAAACCAATCATTTAGCGAAAAATTTTACGAGTAAGACATGATGAAAGATAGTCAGAAGACAAATGATGACTCACTTAGACTTTGTTTGAGAATTAATTTTTTTTAGTTGCTTTTTAACGTTTTGTTTTTGGCTTTTTAGTGATTTTTTTTACTTTTGGATTATTTTAGCCAAAAAACTAAGTTGCCAAATGGACCTTAGTGTGTACGTTGTTTCTCATTGGCCAATAGTACCACATAGTACTCTAGGATTTTCCATCTTGGTAATCACTCATAACTCTATGGTCCCAAATTTATCTATAGTGATGTAACTCTTAAAGAGAGTAAATTGATATAAGAAACAAATTATAAGCATCACATGTATAGTTTACACTAAGTTCTATTACTGAAATTTCAGGAGTGAAACATAAGAAACATTGTCATTGGTCTGAAATGGCACAGCTGCCTTTGTTTAAAGTTGTGGCAAAGACAACTGTAAGAGTAGCATTGTGTTCCCCAGTCCCTTCCATTTGAAGCCAAACTAGAATTTGTAAGTTAGTCATTACCTTTGGTGGAGAAATCAACCACCTGAATTTTCTTGCTAGCAAATAATAGGTGTATGTAAAGGGTGTCAAAATTAACAAATAGAAAACTCTGAAAGAAAAGAAAAGCAAGCCTTTAATAAGAGTTGCTTTATGCTTTTTTTTTTTTTTTTTTTGGTGACAGAGAGTTGCTTTATGCTGGCTTGGTCATAAGGAAGTGTTTGTGCATTTTAATGTGTTATTGATTAATTATTTATTTGTTTGGGATTTTTCACATGGTGCACGAATGAGGAGTTAGTGGGAGCAATGGACATTGTTGAGTAGTTAGTGCTTAAGAATATGAAGAACCCCACATTGACTATGAAGAACCCCATATTAACTGATAAGAGAAGTTGAAGAGATATATATCTATCCATCTATCTAGGTTATTAGACTCGGGTATAACTTGAAGGAAAAATGGATCAAGTTCACAGGCATCGGGAAGGAACGAGGTCGGTTTGATTAAAGTGAAAAATATAATGAGCAAAAAATATATTTTCTTGAACCTTTTGCAAGATATTAAAAGCCAAGAGGAATTTAACTTTCTTGCATTTTCCATATCACTCTCATGATAAACAAACACCGGAAAACTTCCATATAATTTTTTTTTGCTCTTTCCCAAACTCAAACCACATACAACTCGAGAGCTTGTTAAATTCATAATACATTTTATAGTTCCAACAAAGAAACATCAGGAACCTGCACATCATATACAAATGTAAAACTTAGTACAAAATTTTGAAAGCAACATCTAAAAACCACATCATTTTCGCTTCAGTCATTCTAATTACATCCATTTAAAACCATAATATACATTAAAAAGCTTGGCAAGCCACATTATTAATCCACAAATTTAACACATCCATATCCTTTTCCATTGACATATATATATACATATATATGCTTGGCTGAGTAATAACTCAGATACATCAGAGCAATTTGAACAACAATCCTCCATGAGTGGCAAAGAATGGAGCAAACACCAATGACTCAACAGCCATGAGTTTGATTAAGATATTGAGTGATGGACCAGAAGTGTCCTTTAAAGGGTCTCCAACAGTGTCACCTATCACCGCAGCCTTGTGAGCATCTGACCCCTTTGGGCCCAGCATACGAGCGTGTTCAGTAGCACCAGCCTATAAAAACAAAATGAAAGCATGAAATCAAATTCCAAATTGGAAGGTAAAAAAAAAAAAAAACTATGACAATGGCAACAAGGAATCCAATGTTTGCAAGAGTGATTCGATCATTTGTACCTCTATGTACTTTTTTGCATTATCCCACGCACCGCCTGTGTTAGAGGCTGAAATAGCAACCTAGGAGGAGAAATGGAGGTTCATCATACGAAAGAATTGTTGAAGGAGAACAAACAACAAATTATGAACATTGATAAAAACAAAATAGTATGCAAAGTAAAGGTTAGTATGAAAATTTTCAAGGAATCTTGACAAATGTTGTGAATATTTGAAAGTAGAAACAGTTTTGAGAAAAAGAGAAACAAAGAGAAAAGAAAAGAAAAAACTCATAAAAATGTCGGATGTGGAGAGAAGCCTTTAGTAAATGTTGAGAAGTAATTTGGAGCGAAGATTCACCAGGGGCAGCCCAACTTTTGGTAGGGCGAAATATTAGTAAGAGGCATTTCTTACATTTTATAAATTTTTTCTAAAAAAAAAAAAATTCTATTAGAACTTTGCAATGTAAAACTTATTTTTTCCTTTCATCTTTCTAAAAAAAATTCGGACTTATTCATAGCCTTTACTATTACGAATTTTGGACAATGAAAGCTTTTTTTAATTCAAAAAATGGGATCTTTGGACAGGAATTTTTTGTTTTTTCACAAGAAATGTTCCTTTTTAAGCCTTTACAAAGTTTTTTTAGGCCTTTGGACAAAGGAAGAGTTTTCTTTTTCTTTCTTTTTAACTTATTTATTTTTTAAGGGCATACCTGCACACCAGAAACAAGTGAACCAGCCAACACACCAGCAAGTGTTTCCACCCCAAACAAAGTTCCGGCAATCAATGGTGTAAGCATGACCAGAGCGCCAGGTGGGATCATCTCCTTGAGCGAAGCATCAGTGGAAATCTTGACACAAGTTGCGTAGTCCGGTTTTGCTGTTCCTTCCATAAGCCCTGGAATATCATTAAATTGTCGGCGAACCTCTTCAACCATTTTCAAGGCTGCACTTCCAACGCTCTTCATCGTCATTGCTGAAAACCAGTATGGCAACATGGCACCAACAAGCAATCCGATGAAGACCTTTGGAGTCAAGAGATCAACAATCTTGACTCCAGCTCTGCTCACAAAAGCGCCAAACAAAGCAAGAGAGACAAGGGCAGCTGATCCAATTGCAAAACCCTGACAAGGCACAAGCTCAATGTATCAGGAAAAAAAATTGTTGGATGAAGTTAAAATTGAATTTATTGTACATCACATATTGATTGATCTTTATGTGAATCAAATTTGAGAGGCCTAGTGACTTTCAGTCTTAAACTAATGGAAAGACATTGCCATTTGTCATTGGAAATGATCATATTCATGGGATAAAATGGAAGCCTCAAATATTTAAAATATATTTTCTGATCTTTCAGTGTGACATAATGAACATATTGCAATATTTGTTCGCATACTGTGAGGCCTTGTTTAGTGCAACTTATAAGGATTGCTTATAACTTCTTCTTCTTGTTAAATTTATTTTGGCAGTTTGTAACATAATATTTGGTGCATTTTTTCCTTGCTGCTAAGCAAATATAGCTTAAATAGCTGATTGTTTGAAATTTGAGAAAGGGGCACTATAGTTTTTACTTTTTGATTTTCAACCTTCAATTTGAAAGAAGCTGCACCAAACAGACCCTAGATAGCCACCAATGGTTGCAATCCATGCCCATATTTCTGCTTGCAGCTAGGCAAAAATAGCTTAAATAAGCTAATTATTGGTGAGTTGAGAAGGGGGAGCTTTTTATTTATACTTTTTGATTATCAATTTCCAATTTGCAAGAACTTGCACCTAACATACCCTAAATAGCCATCAATCGTTGTAATCCATCATCCATGTCTTAATATACTTGCCTACCACAGGGTTCTGATAACCAAATGCATAGCTTAATGGATATGAAGAACTATTATATATCATCAGAAGTGTACCTTGCCAATTGCAGCTGTTGTGTTTCCGGCAGCATCCAAAGCATCAGTTCTTTCTCGTATTTTGTGGCTCATTCCAGCCATTTCTGCAATACCACCTGCATTGTCGCTTATGGGGCCATAAGCATCGATTGCCAGCCCCGTGGCAATAGTACTAAGCATCCCAAGAGCAGCCATTGCAATTCCATACATAGCAGCTAAACTAAAGCTCACATAGATAGCAAAAGCTATGGCAAAAATGGGAATAATGACAGATTTGTATCCCAGTGCCAATCCAAAGATCACATTTGTTGCCGCACCAGTCCTGCATGAATCTGCCACGTCTTGCACTGGACTGCAAGTTTTTTGCAAGACAAAAACACGCATAAGAATTTAGATTATGAGGCATTATTATACTACATGTGGAAATAAATCCAGAACTTCTATACAAATCTTGCTAAATATTAAAAAAATGGTAAGAAAGCAATCTAGGGATAAGGGATCACTAAACCAACTACGTACAAATTTTACTGCACTAAAGAGTTTTCTCAAAAAAGGGCCTTATTTCCATGAAAGTTCTGATTGAAAAAATCCTAGTTATGAACATTTCTTCTTTTTTGTTTTGTTTTTTTAAAATTTAAAATAAATGGAAAATTTTTAGACTTATTCCAATATAAAAATTTTAAATCACTGCTTGATCAGACCGGTTTATTGACAAGTCTCAACCATGTGCTTTGCACACGTTAGGAAGCTCCATTCTAACTATGTATCATGACCTATGTTACATGGAATCTTCAAGTTTTCCTAAACCTACTCATGTTAATACGACACGACCCAGCTATGAGTACGAGATATGGATATGATCCTTCCGTTTTAAATAAGATTCTTCTTATAAAAAAAATTTCTCTTATTTTGTTAATTTTTTTTTTTTGAGAAATAAGAGAGTAAAATTTGGAGTAAAACGATTGCCAATATATTACAATTGTAGTATAATCACTATATTATATATTTTGCATTACCATAATATTAAATTTATAAAATCAATCTATATAATATATATATCATGAATAAGTTTTACATATATAAATTAGACGACGTAAAACTTATCCGTATCTTAAAATTTGAAGTTTTGATGTGTCTGATCTCTAAATATGCACCTGCACTTACACTTAAGTCCATAATGTAGATTAGGACTAAAAGAAAGGCCTATTTGCATGATATGATTGATGATAATGACTCACCCATAAGCATTGCTAGTGTAATACTCAGTAGTATATCCAATCACAAGGCCAGCCCACAAGCCAATGGACACACAGACAAACAGGTGCCTGCATTGCATTGAGTGATATTTATGTCAATATTCCATAATTCCACAAAGGAAATGAATGCTAGGAGGAGAGAAATTAAGCATACCAGTTTTTCACAGCCTTCTCGGTCCCAAAGTCATAGAGAGTGAACTCTGAGGGCAAAGCAAAAAAGGTCACACTGGCAATCCCGGCAGTCATGAGGACGGTTGAGATTAAAAGTTGTCCCTTCAAGGACGGTTCAATCTCAGTCACATTCTTAATCTCAGACAAGTCAGTTGCGAAAAGCGTTGTTAACAAGCAAACCACAATCCCTGTGGAGCTTATAATAAGAGGATAAGACATGGCTGAGTAATCATGAGTGGTGCCAAAGGATGATATAGATGCAACGAATAGAGCGGCGCAGGATGATTCTGCATACGAGCCAAAAAGGTCTGAGCCCATCCCGGCAATGTCTCCTACATTGTCACCTACATTATCTGCAATTACCTGGGAAAAGTAACACGACAGTGACACCAATCCTTTTGATGGTACAGACCAATCTATAAGATTACTAGTTTATTTAATAATTTATGCAATTGTTATTGACGGCAAGTTCATGGAGACTAGTTTGACCGTTTGATGGTAAAATAAAATGATAATTTTGTTGATTTTCCAAAGCCGTCAGATCAAGCCCAAAACACTCATACTCGATCGGAAACAGCTAAAACTCACTGCGTCACAATGATCCGTGTTGGATTTTGGGCACCTCCAAATTAGGAAATTTATTATTTTTGAAAAATTTTGAATGATTAATTTTGGGGACTAGAAAAATCCATTTTGGATCATGTTTTTTTTGGAAAGTTATCTTTTTATTCTACATTCCTACTACTTTGAGTAATTTTAGACTCATAATGTAATTTTGTCTTGATTTGAAGCATGAATTGGGGCTTGGTCACCATGTAATGCTTACTATAAATTGAGTTGTAAGCCTTTTAGTCAAGACGATCATGTATGGAATAATAAAATTCAAAGAGAGTTTTCACTTTTCTATATTGCTCTTGTTTTTCTTTATGTTTTTCATTCATTCCATACACTTTCCCTCCATCGATAGTCTACCACCCGGATTGATTTGGAAGAAGTTCAGACAATACTGAAGATAGAAACTTACGGCAGGGTTACGCGGATCATCTTCTGGAATATTTCGCTCAACTTTTCCGACAAGGTCAGCACCAACATCAGCCGCTTTTGTGTATATACCACCTCCAACTCTTCCAAAGAGCGCCATTGAAGAACCCCCGAGACCATAACCGGTAATAGACTCATAAAGTCCCTCCCAATCATCTCCATAGTACAATTTAAACAGATTGATAGTGACATAAAGAACCAAAAGCCCATTGGCAGCTAGAAGGAATCCCATCACCGCGCCAGAGCGAAAAGCAGTTATAAATGCCTTCCCAACACCTTTCCTTGCTTCTAAAGTAGTTCGAGCATTAGCAAATGTTGCAATTTTCATCCCTAGAAAGCCGGAGAGAACAGAAGTGAGAGCGCCAAGCAAGAAGGCGATTGTGGTAAAGATGGCGTTGGCAAGGGCCGGTTTGCAGAGGTTGCCTTGATTGTAAGTGCAAGGTTCGCTTTTGGTGCTGAAACCGTTGACTGAACCAAGGAAGAGGAAGATGATTGCACTAAATACTACTGTGAAGATGCCTAAGTACTTGTATTGAGTAAAGAGAAATGATGTTGCACCTGCAAATATGCCATGCACCAAAGTAAATATAAAGTAAGGTTGTGAGGTTCCTACACATAAATACAAAGAAATTTGATTTACACAAACAGAAAGTAGGAACTATTGATCAAAACAGTGAATATTTATGTGCAGATAATCGTGTGATTGCACATATATACACATGTGAAGGTCCAAGTATATATATTTTAGGGTAAATTACACTGATATTTTCAGAGGTTTATACTTATTATAGTTTTTTCCTCATTTTTTAAAAATTACATTTCTCTCTAAGGTTTAAAATTTCATTACAGCTTCTCTTTCAATAATTTAATTTTTTTAAATATCAATTTTTTCCTCACTGAGTAAATTACATTGACACCCCTCACATTTTAGAAATTACAATCCCCTCCCTAAGGTTTAAAAGAACATTACCAATTGCCCCCTCGGTTAAAATTAGTTAGAAAAAAAAATTCATTGAAAAAAAAAATTAATTGAAAAAACAATTATTTGAAAAAAAAAATAATTGAAAAAAAATTTTGTTAGTAAAATTTTTAAATTTCTGTTTAAAAATCAACGTAAACTCATTTTTTGAATTTATGTTTTTTCCTCAAATTTATAAACTGAGACAACATTTATAAACCAAAAAAATTATCAAACAAGTTTTTAGGACATTTTTTTTAAAATTTTATAAATATAAATTGAAAACTGAAAATGAAATGGTTACCAAACAGGCTTCAGATGGTAAAAATGTCGCAAAATTAATAAATAATTAAATAAGTTACCAACGTAAGAAATGACTTATCAAAAGATTCTTAGGCTATGTATGGTTTGATTTTTAGAATTTTTTTTTAAAAATTAAAAATTAATTTTGTTAGGAAATAAAAATTAAAAAATAATTATCATTTAAAGGTAAAAAATAATTATCATTTCAACTGTTGGGTAGGTTATATACATACGTATGCATGTTTCAATTAAATTTGTAAAAAATTATTTCTAACCACTCAAAAGATAAAAATTATATAAAAATGATAATTATTTTTTATTTTTTAATTCTTAACCAAATTAATTTTAAATTTTTAAAAAAAATTCTAAAAATCAAACCATACATAGCCTAAGAATCTTTTGATAAGTCATTTCTTACGTTGGTAACTTATTTAATTATTTGTTAATTTTACGATATTTTTACCATCTGAGGCTTATTTGGTAACTATTTCGTTTTCAGTTTTTAATTTATATTTATAAAAATTTTAAAAATTGTCATAAAAACTTGTTTGATAATTTTTTTGGTTTATAAATTGTTGTCTCAGTTTGTAAATTTGAGAAAAAGATGTAACTTCAAAAAATGAGTTTACGTTGATTTTTAAATAGAAATTTAAAAATTTTACTAACAATTTTTTTTTCAATTAATTTTTTTTCCAATTAATTTTTTTTTTCAATGAATTTTTTTTTCAACTAATACTAACCAAGAGGGCAATTTGTAATACTACTTTAAACCTTAGAGAGGGGATTGTAATTTCTAAAATGTGAGGGGTGTCAATGTAATTTACCCAATGACTCTATACTCAAATCATAGTTTTAAAAATTATTTTTTGATTTTTTTTTAAATAAAGTTTTGGTTTAGTTTTAAAATTATGATTTAAATGTGGAGTTGTGTTTTGAGTTTTGAGTTTTTGAATTATGATTTGAAAAGAGAAAATTTGTTTGATTATGAGTTTTGAAAATAGTTTCGGGATGATTTGTAATTTTTTTTTTTTTTGATTGATTGATGTAAAGAATGTGAGAGGAGAGATGAGAGAGAAAAAATAATTGATTGATTGATTAATAATAAAAAAAAAAAAAGAGTTTTAAAGTAATTTTGAATTGTATTTTAAAAAATTTATTTGGTTATAAATTTTGATTTGAAAGTATAATTGAGTTTTGAAAATTAAACCAAATGCTACTTTTAGTTTTGAGAAGAGTTTTGAATTGAATTTTAAGTTGTGTGTTTAATTAAGAGTTTTGAAAATAATTTTTAAATTGAATTTTTATTAGTGTGCTTAGTTATGAGTTTTGAAAAAAAAATTAATTTTTTTTTATTAGAATCATAATTTCAAAAGAGAACCAAATGCAAACTGGAATATTTTTTCATAAATTGACATATGGTTCTTAACTGCGTAAAACTATTGGAGTATAGATCAGGCAAAATTGATAGATAAGAAAAACACAAACACAAAACATCAAAAAAACAGAAGTACCCCTGAATTGGGACGACAGCGATTCACTAGTTATATAAAAGACAAGTTTCTAATTGTCAAGTTTAAATTTTTTCTTTTTTTGGGTGACATCTGATTCTTTAACAACTCTAATTCATCATAGTGATTAGTCAATAAAGGAGACATAATTATAAATTATGCAACAAAAATGATGAGGAATATACTTTATGTATGAATTCCAGAATCCAAATATAGCACTTAAAAGAGAAAAATAAAAAAAGAAGAATAAAAAATTAAAAAAAAAAGAGTAGAACCAATAAAAATAAAAACACACACTATCATACATGTAAAACAGAGAACAGTAAACAAAAACATAGAAAAACAAATCTTTATTGTGAAAAGTCAAAAAATTTATTTCCAAAAAAAGAAAAGAAAAGAAAAGAAAAGAAAAGAAAATGCAGAATTTGGATACTCGATCTGTCAAAAAAATATATAATTTGAATATTTCTGTGTTCAAATACATACCCCAAAATTAAACCAAGTAAAAAATTCAGAGCAGAACAAGAAGAAACAAATAGAAAGGTTTTTGAATAGAAATTGAAGTATTTACCACAACCAGTGACACAAAAATGCACCACAAGAGAGTGAGAGGGAGAGAGAGAGAGTTGAAGAACTGACCAAGAGAGATAGCATTCTGAATCTCAGCACACTTGTGGACAGCTTCATAAGAGTCAATACCCTCTTCTTCGTCATCTTCTCCAAGCAAGGCACCCTTGTTTCCATTGATGTCCAACATCGCAGGCTCAGACCCACTTGAAACCTTAACCTTTGATACCAAAATCCACTGAACCAAAGCAAACCCAATCCCCACCAAGGCAGCCAAAGGTATCAGAATCTGTGTTATTGTCTCATCCATTTCACAATACTCTCACTCACAAAGCTTGTCTCACAACAACTGGATTTTTATTTTTCTTGCACTTGTTTTTGGGCTGGTTTTGAAGTACATATATATATATATATATATTGCAGATAAATATCAGAGAATCTACTACCATATATCTGTTATCCAAAAGCTTTATTGGTGGCTTTGGTGTTCATGGATATGGCAAAACTGGTTGGTTTGATTGACAGATGAGACAGTGCTAGTTTCATTCCTTTTGGAGCTTTTATATAAAAACCAGTAGGTTTGAGTATCTGGTGTACCCCGTTTTTTGTCTTTATGGTTGAATTGTTAGGGAAAATATAGGTTTCTGCCAAATAAATCAATCAATAGAAATAAAAATTAATGTGTAAAAATTAAATTAACAATAATATAAGAATTTTTGCGTAGTTCTCTCAATGTGAGGTATGTCCACGGGATTGAAAACCGATTCCACTATCAGCCAAAGAGTTTTCAAATGATTCTAAACGGGACACGAATGGTCTCACAAAATTACCCTTAGGTGAATTCTAAATAATCACAAATAAATAAGAGGGAATACCTCACCAAATAGATAAACAAAAACCTTCGAAATAGAATTATAAAAGATCCAAAATAATAACCCAAATCAATCTCTAAGCACTAGTCGAAACTGACAATGCTTCAAAGCAGAACTTGAAACCAATCAAATCTTCCAAGCAACCAATTAAGAAAACTACCCACCGAATTGATGTATGTAGCAGCCGCAGTCCCTCTGATTTTTTTCTTGGAAAAAACAAAACAATACCAATATTTATATTGTGAACTCTTAGATTTTTTTTTATCAAAATCCTAGTTGTACCAAACTAATTATAATCAAACTATTGGACTTCCCAAAATTAGATATAATATATTAAAATATATTATAACTAACACCAAACCAAACTAAACTCTTTAATAAACCAATTGGGTCTTAAAGTCCAATAAGAAGGTATATCCAATAATTCTCCCTCTACCGACTTAGGTGGAGACATCAACCATACTCGCCAAAGTTCGACACTTCAAATATTTGTCCCTCGACAAAGTCTTTGTCAACATATCCGAAATATTATCATCCGTGTGAACCTTTTCGAGTTGCAACAATTTCAAATCTAACGCATCACGAATCTAATGGTATCTCACATCAATGTGTTTTGATCTCGAATGAAAAGTAGAATTTTTACTCAAATAAATAGTACTTTGATTATCACAATAAAGCACATACTTTTCTTGCTTTAAACCCAACTCTTGCAAAAATTTCTTTAACCATAACTCTTCTTTGCAAGCTTCTGTAATGGCAATAAATTCTGCTTCGGTAGTTGAGAGAGTAACACATATTTGTAATCTAGATTGCCATGTTACAGCTCCCCCTGCAAAAGTCATCAAATACTCCGAAGTAAATTTCCTAGAATCAACATCACCGGCCATGTCAGAATCTGTGAATCCATCAAGCATCAGCTTACTATCCCCGAAACACAAACACACCTTCGAAGTCCCTCGAAAATACCTTAGAATCTATTTTACCGTTGTCCAATGTTCTTTACTCGGATTAGAGAAAAAACAACTCACCACACCAACGACGTGAGCAATATTTGGCCTTGTACAAACTATGACGTACATTAAAGAACCAATCACTGAAACATAAGAAATTTTTAGCATCTCTTCCTTGTCTTTGTTACTTGGAGGACATTGATTCGAACTAAGCTTGAAGTGACTCGCAAGTGGACAACCAACTGGCTTTACTTTATCCATGTTGAACCTCTCAAGAACTTTCTCAATGTAGCTTTCTTGAGACAACCAAATCAGCTCATTTTTGCGATCACAAACAATTTTCATACCAAATATTTGCTTTGCTGGCCCCAAATCTTTCATAGCAAACGACTTACTCAACTCCAATTTTAACTTGTTAATCATAGTGTAATCTTGACCCAAAATTAACATGTCATCAACATAAAGCAAAAGAATAATAAATATGCCATCCAAATTTTTTTTCACAAACACACAATAGTCCGAAGCAATTTTAGAAAAATTATTATTCATCATGAAAGAGTCAAATTTTTTGTACCATTGCCGTGGGGCTTGCTTGAGGCCATACAAATTTTTCTTCAATTTGCAAACAAATTTTGCTTTCCCTTTTTCCACAAAACCTTCCAGTTGCTCCAAGTAAATTTCTTTTTCAAGGTCACCATGAAGAAATGCGGTCTTCACATCAAGTTGCTCATCTTTAAAGTTTATACTTGCAGCCATACCAAGTACAACCCAAATAGAAGATATCTTCATAATCGGCGAGAAAATCTCATCAAAGTCAATACTTTTCTTTTGCCCAAAGCTTTTCACAACAAGACGTGCTTTGTACCCCAGATTCTTACTATCATTCTTCATTTTGAAAACCCACTTATTTTTCATAATTTTCCTTCACTTAAACAACTTCACTAAATCATAAGTGTCATTTTCAAATAAGGAATTTATCCACTCTTCCATGACCTTTTTCCAATCATCTCTCTTTGCATGCTCTATTGCTTCTTGGTAGCTCTCGGGCTCCCCTTGATCGGAAATTAACACATATTCATTAGGAGGATACTTTCTTGAAGGTTGTTGGTCCCTTGTAGATTTCCTCAACTCAAGCTGTGGTGGCAGTTCTTGAGTTGGATGCTCTTCCTCAATTTTTGACTTAAATTCATTAGGATTAGTATCATTCTCTACATCTTGAGTAGGTAGCTACACATCTCCCCCATTTTCATCATTCATCGAAGATGAAGGAGATCGATCTATGTCAATGAGATCACTACTTTTCGGCTCCGGTTAATCACCTTTGCCAACGCCTGCAATTGTTTGGTCTTCAAGAAACACAACACCATGACTTCGAATGACTTTCTTGTCGACCAGATCCCACAATCTATAACCAATTTCATCACACCCATAGCCAAGAAAAATGCATTGTCTTGGCTTGCTATCAAGCTTGGACCTCTCATCTTTTGGAATGTAAACAAAGGCTCAGTAACCAAACACTCTCAAGTACTCATAAGATACATTTTTACTAGTCTAAACTCTTTTGGGAACATCACCATTCAAAGGATAGGAATGAGGCAAATGGATCCTGTCAACCGCTATCCTCATTGCCTCAACCCAAAAGGATCTTGGCAATTTAGCATGTGAAAGCAGACACCTTATTCTTTCCACAATGGTGCGCTTCATCCTCTCAGCAACGCCATTTTGTTGAGGAGTTTTCTTAACTGTCTTTTGGTGTCGAATACTTTGCCTGCGACAGTACTCATCAAATGGTCCAACGTATTCACCACCATTGTCTAATCGGATGCACTTCAATTTCTGCCCTGTTTCTCTTTCAACCATGACCAGAAAATGTTTGAATACATCTAGAACTTGATCTTTAGTTTTTAGTATAAAAGCACAAACTTTCCTTGAATAATCATTAATGAAAATAACAAAATAAAGTGCACAACTATTTGTTCTAACTTTTAAAGGACCACAAATATCTGAATGAATCAACTCCAAAACATTTTCTTTCTAGAAATAAATTTTTAAGAAAAGAAATTCTATGTTATTTTCCCGTCAAACAATGAACACAAGTTTTAAGATGTGTACCTTTCAAACCGAGTAGAAGCTCTTTCTTGAACAAAACTTGTAGCCCTTTTTCACTCACGTGCCCAAGCCGCTTGTGCCACAATTTGATAGAAGTATCATATTCAAGTACATTGACAACACCTTTACAAATTTTTCTTTGCATCGAATAAAGTGTATGAGTCTTCTTGTACTAAACCACCACCAAAGAACCCTTTGTGAGCTTCTATATTCCATTACCAAATTTGTTATTGTAGCCATCGTCCTCTAACTTCCTAGTAGAAATCAAATTAAGACAAATGTCGGGAACATGCCTCACATTTTTAAGCAACAACTTGTAGCCCAAATTTGTTTCCAAGCAAACATCACCCATGTCAATAATCTTGGACAAACCTTCATTACCCATTCGAACACAACCATAATCTCTTTTGGTGTAGGTAGTGAAGAAATCAACTCGAGAAGTCACATGAAAAGAAGTACTCGAATCAATCACCCAATTGCTCTCTTGGCCTACAAAATTGATGCAATCATCTTCACAAATGACCATGATATCATCGGTAGTAACTACTGTTGTGTCTTTTTGCTTCTTATCCACACTTTTGTCATGCATTTTCTCCTTATTCTTAAGCTTTCGACATTCTCGCTTCATGTGCCCTTTCTCATGGCAATAATGGTACTCAATATCTTTCTTTGAAAAAGAACCATCTCTTGATTTGTCACGACTTTGATCACGACCATGAGGAGTCTTATCCTTTCCCATTTTTTTGCTTCGGTCTCTCATAACAAATGCCTCCAAATGAGAGGAACCCGTTGATTTTCTTCCAGTTTCTTCATTCAACAAGCTGCTAGTGACTTGGCTCATTGTGATAACTCCATCGGGCGCCGAATCACTAACTGTCATAACTAAAGTCTCCCAACTTTAGGGTAAAGAACTAAGTAACATAAAAGTCTGCAACTTATCATCAAAAATAATTTTCATAGAAGCAAGCTGGTTAATAATACTCTTTATTTCATTCAAATGTTCCGGAATGGGGCTGCCATCTTTATATTTTAAATTAACCAACTTACAAAACAGAAAAACTTTATTTGTGGCTGATTTTCTGTCATAAAGGCCTTCTAATTTTTTTTCCATAAATCATGTGTTGAAGTTTCAGTAGCAACATGATGAAATACACTGTCATCAATCCATTGACGGATACCACCAATAATTTTTCGATTAAGCCTCTTCTATTCATTATCTTTCATATCATCAGATTTGCCACTATCACCCTCGATAGGCCCATACAAATCTTTACAAATAATAGGTTCTCTATTTTAGTTTTTTAAGTTACTCAACTGCTTCCATTGAAGCTAGACATACGACCCACATTCCCCCTCCATTGATTTACACAAATAAATAAATCCAAATAAACCGTAAATTTTGATACCAGTTGTTAGGGAAAATATATGATTTCCCACAAGTAAATCAATCAATAAGAATAAAAA